GTGGTCCCGGTAACCACAGCCTGCAGCCGCGCGGCGTCTCCGTGCAGCCGAACCGCGGAGCTCCGCTCGCCTCGGGGCCGTTCCTCTGCTCGGGGCTCCGGCCGTTTCCCCTCGTCGTGCCCCGCTGTTGGGTGCGGGGTCTGCAGGGGACGCTCCGTTTTCCGCAGCGTTTCCTTTGCTCCTAAAGGAGATTTCGACCCCACGGTAGAAGCCGCCCCGCTCCGCAGCTTCCGGACGCTGCACCGATCCCACATGGCCGCGCGGACCCGATGAGGATGGAGACCCGGGACTCCGCCGGCCGCGGCTCGGGGTTCAAGGCCTTCCCCCTGCCGCCCCGGGCCGGGCTGAGGGACGCGCTCTGCCCGCCCGACACCAAGGTTGGCAGCGCTCCGTGCCCCGCGGCTCCCAGGAGGGGGGGGGGAGGGGGGTGGGGGGGCCCCTTTATGTGTTCGGTGGGTTTTGGGGTTCGGTTCTGGGCTCTGAAATGGGCGCTGAGGTCTTTGGAAGTTTCCAGAGGAAGGTAATGGTGTGGAAGTCGGGCTGTTCGATAAGTGTGGCTGTTCCATAAGTGTTTGATAACTGTAACGGCGCCGGGGTCGTGTAGGACGGAGGGGAGGGGGCTGAGGGGTGACCTCACTGCTCTCTGCTGTGCCCCGAGGAGGGGAACGGGGAGGCAGGCGCTCGGCTCCTTTAGCGAGTGGTGACAGAACATGGGAGCAGAACAGGGCTGTGCTGGGGGGTTCTGACTGTATCGAAGGAAAACCTCTTTACCGTGAGGGTGGTCAGACGCTGGGATAAGCTTCCCAGGGGGGTGAGTGGTGCCCTGTGCCTGCCAGTGCTTGGGATGCATTTGCACGACGCTCTTGGTTGTTTATGAGAACTTCAGGTTAGTTCTGAAGGAGCCAGGCAGCCGTTCTCCATTCCTGTAGCTCCCTTCCAACGGGACCCTTTGGCTTTAGTCAGAAGCAGCAGGGCATTTCAAGCAGCGGTCGCACCAAGTGCCTGGTGTTCCTAACACTGAATGCTTCCTGAGCAGAGGCCTGCTGCAAGGTGCCCTGTTGGTGCTGCTAATTGCTGATTAGCATCCTAAGCAAAGATGGAAGTTTGTTGGTGATATTTGCACTGCTCTGTATGTGCCTGTCAGCGTGTTGTGCCTTGATGAGTTGGCCAGGGGCAGCGTAGCCCTGAGGCTGTTTTTTTTTTTTGCTCTGTAGTAACATGGAAACGATGTTTGTTTTCTCTCTTTTTGTTGAAAGGGAGATCACAGGGGTAGAGGGGATTTTAGAGGGAGAAGGGAGGCTCGTTAGCACCTCTCCAACAGCGTGCTGTGTTGTCAGGCTGACACAGGTGCCCAGTGGTACCTTTCTGTCAGCAATTACTAATGATAACCATGTGGTGGAGGGACAGTAACAGCCTGGGGTTTAAAATCCAGAGCTGTGCACTTTTCTGATAAGAACCTGCAATCTCTCCCCACAGTTCTTACCAAACAAGACCAGCAGCTTTGCTTGCCCAGCTGGAAATGCCTCATGCGCTCTCAATTTCAGCCAAGGTAAGATACTCTCTCTTTTTTTTTTTATTCCCCCTTAAGTGTGTTTTTTATTTATTTTTTTCCCCCCCATTTCCTCCCCACAGCAACGCAGGGAGGGAGATATTCCTCTTTCTGAACTTCTGCCTCATTTCTCACTTGCAGAAGTCCCGTGCCCTGAGACCTACAGGACAGCAGGAGAGCCCCAGGGCTTTGGGTGCAGCACCAACGGGCAGTGGAGGGGTCTGGTGCCCCCCCCGAGCGCTGCGCTGCCCAAGCTGAGGCTGAGCCGTGGCTCTTACCTCGAGGCTCGCAAAAACCCCAGGTGTGTGGAAAAACCCCAGGGCTGTTCTGCACCCACTTTCACCCACAGGTTTGGTGTTTTCCACACGCAGCTGGCAGAGAAATTCCATTCTTGTGGGGGGGGAAAAAAGAAATAACAGGTTGTGCTTTGACCAACCGAGGAAAGCTCTTCTGGCCGCTCAGCAGGAGGCGTTTGCTGCAGATCAGAAGCAGCACAGAAGCTCAGATGTTTGTGAGGCTCTTCCCAGCAGTGGGTGTGATGGAAGAGGAAAATGGGGGTTTGGAGAGTAACCCTGGTGTACAAATAGTGGTTATACTGCTGGGAAGCCAGGAGAGGTGGGGTGTGATGTGGTCCTGTCCTGCTTAGTGCTTGTGATGCAGGAGCTTTGCGTGCAGCTGCCTGTGAAGGAGTGTTTCCCCAGTAGGGCAGTGCCTTTCCAGCTCAGTGTGAATCTTACTCCTCTGGAAAATCCCTGTAATGGAGAACGTTTGTTTGTGATTGATGTAATTAATGTCAATGGGATAAATTCCAAATCAACCCAGAGATTTTGGAACGGGCTGTGAAGTGAGCCTGACCCGCGGGAGTGGGGAGAAGCGAGGCGAGAGGAGAGCATCGGGTTTTGTAACAGAGGACGCAGAGGTTTTTCTCAGGGCGAGATTCAGCCATTTTGTGGATGTGGATGGGAAGAGGGGGAGCTGTTGGATCTGGCGGGAAGGTCTTGCTCGGGGTTTGCAGGCTGTGCTTCCTCGGCCTCGCAGTGCCACCTGCTGGCATCTGCCCGGCTGCACAATCTGGCATCTGTGGCTTTGCTTCGAGCTGATGAAGAGCCGGGCTTCAGTGCTGAGCTGGTATTTGATTTGTGTTTGTAAAGCTCGTTTCTGATCCGAGTTGGGTAGAATCACAGAATCACAAGGTTGGAAATGATCTGTAAGATCATCTAGTTCAATCTAGTCTCCTCATCATAGCTCGGTTCTCGACTGATTCGAGGGATGGGGGAAGAATGAGGTTACAGACTCGAGCAGGCTGCCCAGAGAGGCTGTGGATGCCCCGTCCTTGGAGGTGTTCAAGGCCAGGTTGGATGGGGCCCTGGGCAGCCTGGTTTAGCATTAAAGTTGGATGTTGGTGGCCCTGCATGTGGCAGGGGGTTGGAGATTCGTGATCCTTCAGGTCCCTTCCAACCCTGGCCATTCTGTGAAGCGTGAAATCGAAGGAACCTGTTTTGTTTCTCCTCACAGTGGGACCTCCAACAGTTTTGTAGGGAAGTCCAACCACCATTGCCATGGGTCGGCGTTTCCAATCAAACCTGCCCAGAGCCCTTCCTGGAGCGGGCCGTGCCGCCGCAGCCTGCTCAGCCCAAAGAAAACTCCGCGGCGGTTCGTCAGCACTGCAGAGGAGGTAATAAGCAAAGGTTGGGTGCGAGGCCCCTCGCTGGGTGGCTCCATCTGAGCTGGTTGCTTCTGAGCACCGCAGAGAGCTGGAGGCAGCTCTGCCTTGTGCTGGATTCTGTCCTCCTGTCTGACAGAACGAGAGCGTTTCGGGTTCCTCGTGTGTCTGCTTGTGTTTGCTGGGTGTGCGTGGTGTCTTTGTTTAAAGCGTGGTAGAGAACTGTGGCTGTTTCTCTGCAGACTGTTCGAGAGGAAGAGCGAGAGATCTACAGGCAGTTGCTTCAGATGGTCACAGGAAAGCAGTTTTCTACGTCCAAGCCCTCTTCGCTCTTCCCCTTCCATCTGTGAGTTACATAAAATGCTCACTTCCAGCACAGGCTGCGTATCCTCTGTGCGTGCGTTCTGTGGGATCTAACTTCCCGTTGTTCCTAGGTCCAGGTGCTCAAATTCCAGCAAAAGTGTACTGAAAGAAACTCCCAGCAAGAACTCAAAGCTGTTTGAAGCTCACAGCGTTGCACCAGCCAGCTCAGCGACCAGCGTTCTCGGGGCACAGGAGCAGCCATCGCACAAACCACCGCTCTACTCCACGCCCAGCTATCCCTGCAATATCTTCGAGTCCCATAACTCCACAGCCCAGCATCAGCAAGAAAATCTACCAGCATCCAACACTCAGTCTGAAGGTGAAAACCAAAAGCAAACAAGCAGTCAGATGTATGGGGCGAAAGCGCTTACTCCTTCCTTTTCTGTACTTGGACTTCAGCACAGCTTGGTAACTCAGTAGTAATTGTAAGAATAACAATGTTCCTCTATTTTATCCTCTGTAGGATCAGACTCGGTCATTTTGCTCAAAGTAAAGGATTCCAGAACCCCGGCTCCAAGGTGAGAGGCTGTAAATTGCATCCAGAGCAAACAAGGGCAGGGGGAAGTTCACACAGTCTTTTTTGGTTTCACTGAGAGAGGAGATTGCAGATAAAAAGTGACTTTGTGAATGCTTCACAAAGGGAGAGCAGTTTGCCATAGACACCAGCACTGGGGAATGATGCATCAATCTCTTTCTGGAGACCTGGATGCAAATTGCTGTCGGATCTGTCTGCAGCTCTTATCACTCTTACAATAAAGATGTCCTCAGATATTACTCACTAATCACTTTTCAGGCAATTACTTTCCGTGCAAAGGAGGATGCTTACGCATGTTCTTCTCTCCTTTCTAGCCTCCCATTCTTCCAGGCAGAACTGTGGATCAAGGAACTGTAAGTAGATGTTTTCTGCTTCGTTTTGCTCTCACAAATGCTGGTGTGTTTCTAAATGCTGTCTTGTTCAAACTGTGCTTCTCAGGACCAGCGTCTACGACTCGCGAGCTCGGGAGAGGTGGCGGCAGATTGAGGAGCAGAAAGCTCTGGCCTTGCAGCTGCAGAGCCAGGTGAGAGAACAGTGAGTGAATGAGCATCTCTGAGTCAGAGCTTCAAACCACAGAGTGGGAAGCTGACGGGAAAGAATGGCACAGATCTGCTCTCTGACATCCGATGGCTTTGTTGCTCCTTGCTGTGGCAGGGCGCTCAGTCGCACTGTGGCCAGGCTGGATGCTGCCCCTTTCTGCATCTCCTGGAACGATTGGCTCCATGAGGCTTCCTCCCCAGCCCCGTGGAGGTGGCTCCTTTTCTCTGTGTAATCCAGAGGTCTCCCCTTCAGCGGTTGCAGGAGCAGGAGCACTCGGTGCAGGACCTGGTGGATTTGAACCTTCGTGTGCCTCTCGAGAAGGAAATCCCGGTCACGGTGGTCCCAGAAAAGAAAGAGGGTGCCAAGTCTGCTGATGGTGAAGAGGAGTTCCCTGAAATCACAGAGGTAAATCTCCTTTGTCTGGTGGACAGCCAGACATCTGTGTGGATGTGCTTGTGATACGAGCATCATTTTCTGAGACCAGTGCACAGACTGAGAGCTGAGACCTTTTGCTGTGTGTTTTATGGAGGGTTTATCCTTGGAGGAGCAAAGAACAGATGGGGGTTTGAATGTAGCCCTCGTGATGGCTGGGTGGATGGGGGGAGAGCAGTGGATGTAGTCTACCTTGATTTCAGCAAGGCATTTGATACTGTCCCCCACGACATCCTTATAACAAAGCTGAGGAAGTGTGGGATGGATGAGTGGACAGTGAGGTGGGTTGAGGACTGGCTGACTGACAGAGCACAGAGGGTCGTTGTTGGTGGTGCAGAGTCTGGTTGGAGGCCTGTAAGCAGCGGTGTTCCTCAGGGGTCTGTGCTGGGTCTGGTCTTGTTCAACATCTTCATCAATGACCTTGATGAGGGGATGGTGACCACCCTCAGCAAGTTTGCTGATGACACGAAGTTGGGAGGATTGGCTGACAGCCTGAAGGCTGTGCTGCCATTCAGTGAGACCTGGACAGGCTGAGAGCTGGGCAGAAAAGAACCGGATGAGGTTTAACAAAAGCAAATGTAGAGTCTTGCATCTGGGGAGGAATAATTGCATGCACCAGTACAGGTTGGGGATGAGGTGCTGAGGGGAGCTGTGCGCAGAGGGACCTGGGTGTCCTGGGGGACGACAGGTCGGCCATGAGCCAGCAGTGCCCTCGTGGCCAAAAGGCCAACGGCATCCTGGGCTGCATTGCACAGAGCGTGGCCAGCAGGTGGAGGGAGGCGATCCTCCCCCTCTGCTCTGCCCTGTGAGGCCTCACCTGCAGCCCTGCGTCCAGTTCTGGGCTGCCCAGCACAAAACAGACAGGGAGCTCTTGGGAAGAGTCCCAAGATGGTGAGGGGCCTGGAGCATCTCTGCTATGGGGAAAGGCTGAGTGAACTGGGGCTGTTCGGCCTGGAGAAAAGAAGGCTGAGAGGGGAGCTGATCCAGGTCTGTAAATATCTGAGGTGTGGGGGCAGCATGGCGAGGATGGACTCTGTGCAGTGGGGAGTGGAGACAGGAGGAGGGGAAACGGCCGGAAATGGAGCACAGGAAGTTGTGCAGCAATGTGCGAAGGAACGGCTGTGCAGTGAGGGGAGGAGCGATGGAACAGGATGCAGGGAGGGGGGAGTCTGTGGGTCCCGACGTGTCTCTATGGGTCCCGACGTGTCTCTATGGGTCC